GGGTGGCAGAGGGTTGATTCACTGAACTGCCCTGACTTCAAAGGGGGAATGCAGCATGGCTGAGGCAAACAGGCAAGGACAGCAGGGCTTGACCCAACTGCCCCCGCCAGCGAGCTCAGCTGCCACCTGTCCCTGCTGCCCTGAGTGGTTCCTGTTTCTGGCGCTCGCCTGGGCTGCCACCTGTCCCCATTTTCCCAGGAGTTTCCCTTTTTTAGGTAGCTGTCCCAGGAAACCTGTAAGTCCTCCCATCCCAGCCCTGGTTGTTGTCAGTCACCCCCAATGGCTCCCCCAGCCCTACTGTCTATACCGTGGGTGGCAGTGCCTGTGCAGAGGGTGCTTGGGTTCAGAGTGTCGGGGAAGGGGTGGCTTGGGAGCAGCAAGCAGGACAGGGAGAGCTTAGGGGCAGCAGCGCCCAGTGGCTGCCACGTACATACCGGCTGCAAGGGTCACCCTGGGCAGGAATTGGGTGGATCTGGCTCGTGCTGCTTGGTGAGGTCAGTGCCCAGGGCAGCCCTGGGAGCAGGAGACAGGATGGGAGATGGGGCCTTGGAAGTGGGGGGCAGGTGGTGTCCAGGGGGTATGCGATAGGGCAGGGGCAGGTGGTTGTCCTGCTCGGAGGTGGCAACCCTAGCACTCCCTGAGCCACCCTGCATGTAACCTAGATGAAGTTTCTATAAGGTGGTTAGAAAACCATTCCCAGAGAGTAGTTATCAGTGGTTCACAGTCATGCTGGAAGGGCATAATGAGTGGGGTCCCGCAGGGATCAGTTCTGGGTCCGGTTCTGTTCAATATCTTCATCAGTGATTTAGCTAATGGCATAGAGAGTACACTTATAAAGTTTGTGGACAATACCAAGCTGGGAGGGGTTGAAAGTGCTTTGGAGGATAGGATTAAAATTCAAAATGATCTGGACAAACTAGAGAAATGGTCTGAAGTAAAGAGGTGAAATTCAATAAGGACAAATGCAAAGTACTCCACTTAGGAAGGAACAATCAGTTGCACACATACAAAATGGAAGTGTATGCCTAGGAAGGAGTACTGCGGAAAGGGATCTGGGCGGTCAGAGTGGACCACAAGCTAAATATGAGTCAACAGTGTAACAGTTGCAAAAAAAAGTGAACATCATTCTGGGATGTATTAGCAGGAGTGTTGTAAGCAAGACACGAGAAGTAATTCTTCCACTCTACTCAGGCCTCAACTGGGGTATTGTGTCCAGTTCTGGGTGCCACATTTCAGGAAAGATGTGGACAAATTGGAGAAAGTCCAGAGAAGAGCAACCAAAATGATTAAAGGTCCAGACAACATGACCTATGAGAGAAGATTTAAAAAATTGGGTTTGTTTAGTCTGGAAAAGAGAAGACTGAGAGGGGACATGATAATAGTTTTCAAGTACATAAAAGTTTGTTACAAGGAAGAGGGAGAAAAATTGTCCTTAACCTCTGCGGATAGGACAAGAAGCAATGGGTTTATTGCAGCAAGGGAGGTTTAGGTGGACATTAGGAAAAACTTGCTAACTGTTGGGGTGGTTAAGCTCTGGAATAAATTGCCTAGGGAGGTTGTGGAATCTCCATCACTGGAGATTTTTAAGAGTATGTTAGATAAACACCTGTCAGGGATGGTCTAATCCTTAGTCCTGCCGTGAGTGCAGGGGACTGGACTAGATGTCCCTTCCAGTCCTATGGGTCTACATCTGTCACTCCACCCAGCTCTCGGTCCCACAGCCTCATCCCTCTGTTGTCCCTCTTGGACCCCACTCCTTTTCCTTGTGCCCTTGCCACACCTCTGCTGGCCTAGCAGGAGAGTAACTCTCTCTACAGCAGTCTGTGATGCTCCTGTTTTTTCTTTACCACCACCCCAGCCAATGGGCAGGTTCAGACATTCAGCCCCTGGGAGTACCCTCCGGTATGTGCCTCTGCACACATATCCTGCCTCTTCTGCCTGGGATAGGGCTGTAGGGGCTTGGAAATAACATCCTGTGTAGGTGAATGGGGAGTGAGGACTAATGATTAGGGGGCTGGAGCACATGACTTATGAGGAGAGGCTGAGGGAACTGGGATCGTTTAGTCTGCAGAAGAGAAGAATGAGGGGGGATTTGATAGCTGCTTTCAACTACCTGAAAGGGGGTTCCAAAGAGGATGGATCTATGACAGAACAAGGAGTAATGGTCTCAAGTGGCAGGTGGGTAGGTTTAGGTTGGATATTAGGAAACACTATTTCACTAGGAGGGTGGTGAAGCACCGGAATGGGTTACCTAGGGAGGTGGTGGAATCTCCTTCCTTAGAGGTTTTTAAGGTCAGGCTTGACAAAGCCTTGGCTGGGATGATTAGTTGGGAATTGGTCCTGCTTTGAGCAGGGGGTTGGACTAGATGACCTCCTGAGGTCCCTTCCAACCCTGATATTCTATGATTAAAGTCCATGAGTTTCTTGACACTGGAGTGTCACTTTAGTTCTGACGAGGCAGCCTATGGATAGTCCCTCCCGCAGAAATACATGCGCTGTCACAAACACCCGCATACTCCTTCAGCATAACCAGCCTCAAGGTGGCTTCCTGCAGTTAGAACACTGTTGGGATGATGCACTGGGCCATGCAGATCCAGCCACCTCCACTGCTGGTAGTTCCATTCTGCCTCCTTAAATCCTCCACCACCCACTTTGAGTGAGATATGCCCTTCTTGTTCAAAAGAACTGCCCAACCCCAGCCCAGCAGTAGCTGCATTTCAGGGAAGAACAAAGCAACCCCGATGGTTGGGCTGCAGTGGCACTTGCAGCTGTAAAGTTTTGTGAGAAAACTTTTTATGACTTACTGGGGAAATAGGAAAGCTCCTGGCTCAGAGCAAGGAGCAATGACCCACTGCACGGCTAGCCCAGAGGCCTGGTTAAAAGAGCTCTCTCTGGGCTCAAGTGTCTGCATGGAGATCTAAACCAGCATCACAGCCCTCCTAATTCAGCTAAGGGCTTCCTGGCAAGGCAGGAATAGGCCTCCACAGGACAAAGGGGAGACAGAGGGTTGATTCACATAACTGCCCTGACTTCAAAGGGGGCTGCAGCATGGTTGAGGCAGGCAGGCAAGGACAACAGGGCATGAACCAACTGCCTCCACTCAGGATCCAGACCCCTTGGTGCCCCTGCACTCGCCAGCGAGCTCAGCAACGGTAAATCCTGGGAGGGGACTAAGGTGATGGGACAGACTGTCTCCTGCACTGGGCAGGGCCCCGTTACATTCCACCACCCTGGAGCTGATCACGACTGCCCACTAATCAGAACCTAACTGCCCCTCACTACTCCATTCCCTCCAGGCCTCGTACCACGCAGCTTCCCACTGTGCGATGGGGATGGTCCTGACCGACTTGGGGAAAGCCCTTTGCAAGCTACAGATGGGAAGCCCTGGGGGCGCTCTGCAGTGTCCAGGCTAAGCCAGGGGCTGTGACACCCAGGATCACACATACCCCCATCCCAAGGGAGAAGGGAACAAACAGTGCCTGGACCTCCTAAAAGAAGGGTTTATTGTCATAACTTTATTAGAAAGACATTTACACAGACCAATCTTTACAGACGCAGAAAACAGTGACCAACAGGGAACAGGTTTGTCTGGAATAAGGCATCCCCATTTGGTATAAATTAGTATTTTATACAAGAATCACTGACAGACACCTGAAACATTACACAAGAGCCAGCTCCACCTACCCACTCGGCACCCCTCACCCCATGGAGCCATGCTGGCACCATGGCTCAGTGCTGGGGAGGGCTATGCCCCCCACAGCTGGCCCTCCATTGACTTCAGTGTGATTGGAGCCGAGATCCACAAGGGGAAACCCCTGGTGCAGAAGCTTCGGGGAAGGGAGCTCCCTGCCAGACTAGCCAGTGCAGATGCCAGATCCCCCCGCTCTCTGCACCCTGCCAGGAGATGGCGCTCCCAGGGCCTGTGTCATAGCGCCACTGCAGTACCAGGGGCACTCCAAAGCAGCAGGCCTCCCAGGCTCAGATCCTAGCCCCCACACCTGGGAAAGCCCCTCTTCCAAGGGCTGCTCCTTCACTCCCTCCTCCAGCTCTCGCTGGGCAGGTGCTGTCCTCGCCACACGCACAGCAAAACAGACTGCAGGATGTGGGGAGGGATTGGGCGTGGTCAAGCTGTACGAGATCCTCTGGGCCCAGCAGCCCCCTCCCCCCCTCCCCCTCCGGCCAGGGCACCAGGCCATCTCTGCAGCACCATGCACCGGACCGGTTCATCTCCCATGGGGGAAGGTGGGGGGTGTTCAAAGACATTGAAGGGGCCCTGTGCAGGTTTAGCACCACAAGAATAAATAGACCCACCAAGCCAAACACCACCTTATACGCATGCAGATGAGGTGCTCAGCTCTCTAGCGAGTGGAGGGGATGGGACTAATGGGGGATTGCCTAGGGAGCCCAGAAGAATTGTTTCTCCCTCTGTGCTTCTCAGCCCCATTGGCCTTCTCATGCCAGACACGGCTCCCAACCCCTAACATGACACCCCCCCCCCCCCCCCCACAGCTGCACTGGAGCTACATGCTCCTTGCCCAGCCTCTGGGCAGGCTAACAAGAAGCCAAGACAGCAATGAGACCAGGCAGGCTCATTACAGTAGTGCTCTTCCTCCCCGCCCCATGGAAACACCAAGGGAGCAAGGGCAACCCAGCCCAATCCCCTCAGCCCAGAGATCCCCACACACAGGAGTCTGCGGTCCTGCTGCTTCTGTGAGAGAGACAGCCAAGAGGACAGAGGGAGCACCCTTCCAGGCACCCTTCCAGTCCTGAGCTGTGTTAGGGGCCCACTCAGGATTATGGGGCTGGCTAGGTCAAGGTGAGCTCTGGGCAGTGTCCCCTCTGCCAAGGGCTGGAAAGAGGCAGGGATCCGCCTCAGCCATCAGCAGGGAAAGGGGAAAGATGCCAGCGTCTGCACCCAGTTTGGGTGCCGGGTCTGCAGAGACAAGGCACGGAGATGCCTGCTGGGTGTGTCCGGGTCTGTGTCTCTGTATGTGGGGGGGGGGGGGGGGTCGAGGTGCTGACAGCTCCATCCGGGGTGGCTGCATGACAGGCTGGCAGACAGGAGGAGCCTGCCCACCTCAGCAGGCAGGAGCGCCGCACTCAGGGCTTCATGACAAGCAAACCAGTCTATAAAGCAGAGAGGACAATGGGAACGGGCCTTCAGGGGGCCAACACCAACCCTGCAAGTGAACAGAGGCAAGGAGACAAGTCAGGGGAGGCCACAGCCCCCACTGGGAGACTGACCCCTCCCCCCAGCACCCAATCCAGCCCCACGCAGCTCCCTCCTGCACCTTTGCGATAGGGACACAAACCCAGGCTCTCCTCCTGCTTAAGAGGCTGCCCCCAGAGCCCAGTCTGCAGAGTGCAGAAAAATCACATCTGGCTTTCTATTCTATAACCAAGCGAATGGTCCTGGGGGAGCCCCCCCAACCCCCAACTGCAGATACTCCAGCAGCTATGACCTCCAGGATAATCTCAGGGGACCCCACTCCCTCTAGCGCAGACCCTGGTAGCTATGAGCAGCTGGACTGAAGCATTGCATCCATTGGGGACGGATTCTGTTCACATCTGCTCTATGGACAGCAGCTCTGAGCACTGTCCCCACCCCCAGGACAGGTGTTCAGTGTCAGAGGGCTAGGATGAGGCCTTGCTCTCCCAGCCGTGGTGCTTCCCCCACATGCCTGCACCTCCCCAGACATGCCCTGCCACACTGTGCTGGGCTGGTCCCACGTGGCTCCCCCACCCTCCCATGGAAAGACCCATTACCTGCGCTAGAAAGGCATGGGGCCCTTGTGGGAGAGACGGGGTCTTGGACGCCGGGACTTTCGCCAGCCATTCTGCCGGTGTCCTGCTCCATTCCGCATCCCCTTGGGGTGCGCCAGGTTCCGGATGTTCCCTTTCTCCAGGTCTCTGCCATCCGGCGCCTCGGACAATGGTGCTGCACACAGAGGAAGCATGTTAGTGCCAGAGGCCCCTGCCCACAAAACCCCTCAAGTCACACACAGCAGGCCTGGCACATCCCAGGGCTCCAGCCTCCCAGAGCTCAGTGGTTCCTGAACCCCATATTCAGAGCCCCCCCAATCCTGCCCCAACTCTTGGCTTTCAGATCCTACATTCTGTCTTGCTGGACATAAGACCCATACTGGGTCAGACCAAAGGTCGATCTACACCAGTATCCTGTCTTCCAACAGTGGCCAATGCCAGGTGCCCCAGAGGGAATGAACAGAACAGGTAATCACCAAGTGATCCATCCCCTGTCGTCCACTCCCAGCTTCTGGCAAACAGAGGGTAGGAACACCATCCCTGCCCATCCTGGCTAATAGCCACTGATGGACCTATCCTCCATGAATTTATCTAGTTCCTTTTTGAACCCGGTTATAGTCTTGGCCTTCACAACATCCTCTGGCAAAGAGTTCCCCAGGTTGACTGTGCATTGTGTGAAGAAATACTTCCTTTTGTTTGTTTTAAACTTGCTGCCTGTTAATTTCATTTGGTGGCCTCAAGTTCGTGTGTTATGAGAAGGCATAAACAACACTTCCTTATTTACTTTCTCCACACTGGTCATGATTTTATAGACCTCAATCATATCCCCCCTTAGTCATCTCTTTTCCAAGCTGAACAGTCCCAATCTTATTAATCTCTCCTCAGATAGAAGCTGTTTCAAACCCCTAATTTTTGTTGCCCTCTTCTGAACCTTTTCCTGGTGCATTTATCATGGAAGGACCTGCCCGGAGCCATCCCAATACAGACTGTCCACATGTCTGTGTGAAGAGGCCTCCTCTCCCTCCCACCCCACTCAAGGTGAGATGGGCAAAGCCAGGGGTTGTTTCTATGGGGGGTGGGCAGGGCTGGCCCCTCCCAGAGTTGGCTCTGTCACCAGGGCCGGCCGGAGCCCCGGGGGGAGGGCGGCGAGCCCCGGCGGGGGCTCCGCTCTCCCGCCGGGGGGAGGGCGGCCGGAGCGCCGGGGGGAGGGCGGCGAGCCCGGCCGTGGCCCCGCTCTCCCCGGCGTCCGGAGTGCCGCACCACCCCCCTCCAGGTGCCGCCCCAAGCACAAGCTTGGTGGGCTGGTGCCTGGAGCCGGCCCTGTCTGTCATGCCCTGCTGGGCTTGCTTCCCCAGCTGCCTGCCAGAGGGACTCTCCTCTGGCGAAGGAAAGTGAGCTCAGCTCCCTTGCTCAGGGGTGGGCTGGGATCAGCTGAAGCCCCTCACTGAGGCCAATTCATTTCCTTCCTCCTGAGGATGCATCTTGCAGCAGGGCTGGGGAGATATTCTTGGAAATCCCCTCCTAGGACTCCAGCCCTCCCTGGGACAGTTAACCCCAGCAGAGCCCCTCCTCCCCCCACCATTACTGGCTGCACATCAAACCTGGCCCAAGCACAGCAGAGCAGGTCACCATTTCCTGCTGCCTCTCCCACCCACAGGGAGAGGGACCTGCTGCATTTCCTCCTCTTCTCCTGGCCTTTGAATCCTGCCCAGTGCCACAAAGGAGGGGAGATTCCTATGGGAAGAGCCAATGGCCACCCCAGGCATGGTCCCTCTCCAGCCAGAGTGGGAATTCAGCCCCCACCACATTGGGCTATAGCAGAAAACCAAGTGCTGCATCTCAGCACACTCCCCCAGTCAGCTCACCCTAAGCAGGGTCAGAGCCCAGGGCACCCAGCTGCAGAGAGCAGCCTCCCAGTCTTCTGCAGAGTATCTTGGGAAGGAGGGAAGCCGCTCTAGGGAACCCCCTCAACAGACTTCTACCCCCAGGGCAGTGTAGTCACTGCTGTGGGTTCGGGTACAGGATTAAGCCAGGGAATGCCAGTGGCTAGTAACTAGTCCACTGCTCTCAGAGCCATTGCCAGGAATTGGTTACTTTGCACTTTGCGCTCTCTCTCTCTTCCCCCCCCCCCCCCCCCCCGTGGCTGGATTTGCTGCCTCTGGCTGGAAGCCTCCTGGGATATTGGCTCTCGCTTCCAGACTAGTCCCTTGGGCCTTCTCAGCCCAGGCTGTGGTTCCAGGGTCACCGACAGGCAGCACATCCCTGCTGGGTCTCAGCGTCCCAGCCAGACCTGCCCATCGCCCAAGGCAAGGTGCACAGAGTGGTGATGGAAATGGGCCCAGAGTGTGCAGCCGGTTTCCTGGATTACCCCCAGCAGGAGCCATTAGGCTGTGGAGTGCTTCCTGGAGTGACTTGGCCAGGTCACTTACAGCCCTTGGCATGGTGCCATGGGGAATTCTCTGGCAAGGGGGGACAGTTCATGCCAGCAGCCAGGGCTCCTGGTATCCCTGATCAGATAGCAGCCTCAGCCCATGCTCACACTCACAGGCTCTGCATTCCACTCCCCTGCCCCGCACACAGCCACCCCCAACCAGTAACCATGAGCCGCCACTCCTCCCCACGCAGACACCAGTACCAGTCTCCCTCCCTCCCTCACCTTGGGGCTTTGGGGCAGCCTGCCTGAGAACCCCGCATATCTAACTGCGCACACAGCCCCACAGAGCAGCTGTGCCTGCTTGCACCACTGCACACCCACTCGCTCATAGTGTGGAGTACAAACATGCAGCCTACATGTACATGCACCACATACTGCCCTCCCTACAGGCCACTCGCATGGGCTGTCCCTGCACCCCACCATTCCCCACCCCAGGCTTCCCTGCCCTGCCTAGGCCCACCTCACACACTTTGCAATTCCCTGCACTCTTTGATCCCAGGGTCTCAGCAGACCCTGTGGGGTGGAGTCTGCATCTATACCAATGACACCTGGTGTTGGAGCTGGGATGGGGGCACACACACACCCATTATTCCTCTGTACCATTCCACCACACTGGGAAACTCCGATTAATCCAGTGAGAAATGCCCTGAATTCAAGCAGTCTGTCCCCTCCCAGGCACCAGGGCTCTAGGCTGCCCCTAATCCCCTGGGGAGTCACACAGCAGCTAGTCTGCAAGAGGTCCTGGGTTGTGATGCAGCCCCATGCAGGCTGGGCTGGGCCCTGGGATGATCCTGTTACAACGCTGACCCCCACCCCCTAGACAGCTCAGCTTGGAGCTTGATCTGAGGCAGGGAGAAGGTGGGGTAAGCTGCCCTCCCCTGTGCCAGGGAGACCCCTCCCCATTACAGTCATATGAAGGCAGCCTGGGCAACCTTAGCCAGAAAGGGGAGATGGAGGCCAGGACTCCCCACAGCCACATCTCCAGAAGGCTGCTGGTGCCATGGTTCTGTGCCTGAGGCAGAGAAAAAGGAGGATGGGAGGGCCACTTGCCCCCCCAAGCCCTGGCCTGGTCCCAGGCTCCAGCCCCTCTGGTTGCTGGGCCGCACACAGACTCCCGCAGCTGAGAGACACTCTGCCCTGTCCATGTGGCGTTGTTTTGCTGGGCTCTCCAGCCAGCGGTTCTGACAGGATGTGGTTTGTTATCACCATGAAGAGCGCTTTGTCTGTGCTGGACAGCAGGGGAAGGAAGAGCCTCCAATTCCTGTCAACAAGGCTCCATCGGTGAGGTGTTGATTAGCTCCCAGGCTAACTTTGCGTGTTCTGCCCCACATGCCAGCCAGGCTGGCACTGCCTGCATCTCCACTGCCAGGGCCAGCCCCTGCCCTGCTAGACCATCTGAGGTGCTCTGACTTAGCATCATTGGGCAGGCTCCCACCCACCCGGCAGCGCACACTGCTCGGCTGGGGGGAGGGGGGGGGGGAGAAGAGGGTTCACCACCTCCAGAGCCACAGGGCCAGTCCACAGTAACTGGAGCATGGGACCCCAGCCCCCCTTAGCCAGACACTCACTACTTGAGGGCACAACATGACTCCCTGGCCCGACCCCCCTCCTTTGCCTTCATGGCTGGAAGGGGTCCTGGAGCTTTTCCTGGCTGCAGCTTGAGGCCCAGGCCGGAAAGAGCAGAGACCTTGTGGCTGTGGCCATTGTGCTGTTCAGCACAGCCCTGCTGCTCCTGCAGCCCCCCCATGCGCTGCACAGTCTGGAACCCTTCCCTGAGGCGGCACCTGCAAGGGCAGGGCCATTGCCCTGGCACAGAAACCTCGGGCGCAGCTGGGGTATTCTCCCCTCATGGAGGCACAGTCTGCAGCAGCGGTCCCAGCCCTACAGCAGAGCTCATGGTGGGGAAATAACCCTTTCACCCCACTCACAGGGCTCTGGTCTACAGCATGTGTGGGGCTGGAAATCCCCTCCTGGTTGGGGTTCCGAGGCGTTGGGCCAGACTATGACCACAGCTCTCCACCTGCCTACCAATTCCCAGGCTGCTCCGTACTGGGCGCCTCACACAAGAGCCCCTTGCACCTGCCCCACCTTTTCCATGCCACTTCCTCCTGCCGCTCTCGGATGCTGGTACTGCTGCTGCCTGTCCACTTGTTCTGCGCACACAGAAGCTTTCAGCCTCCAGGGCTGTCACTCAGACACCTTCCACCAGCACCAGCACTGCTTATAAGCACCTGTTTTTCTTTTAAGCATCTCATTAGCTGCATACAAAATCTGCCACAGCCTGACAGCGCCAGTGTTTGGAGCATAGCAGGCTTCCACTCCATGCATTCCCCGGGTGCACCCTTCACTGCTCCAGCAGGGAAGGAGATAAGAACTGGGAGAGAATTTCAGACAGCACCAGAAAGCCCGGGGAGCAACTGTGAACAGGAAGGATACAAAAACGGGCATCAGATGCCCTCTGCACACTGAAAATGCACCTCCACCCTGATGCCAGGGATCTGGGAACGAGCTTCCTGCCTACCTGAACAAGCCCAGTGGCACCTGGTAAGTGGCAGCCACTATAGCAGATGCAGCTGGGCAGGTGCCAGTCTGGCAACTGGTATCGCCATATGGGCATCCTGCCCATTACAGCCACCAAAGCTCAAACTGGCACCTGTGGGCCACAGGCAGAGGTTACACTAGCCAAGGCCAAAGGGGGCCAGCTCTCTAGCTGTGCCAACAGGAGACGTACTGAGCTGATCTTGGCTGGGAGTCACTGTGGGCAGCTCTCCTGGGATCCGTTGACACTCAGCATCAGGTGTTCTCTCCCCTTCTGCCTCAGCTGGCTCAAGGGCACACTAAGCAGAGTTTCTCTAGATCAGCCTGAGACCCCCACAGCTATGTGCAATGCCATTTAACCCCATGTCATCTGGAAGCTCTTTCCCTTCCCCATGACACTCCGATAAACACACACTCTGTCGCTGCCTTGTAAGTTTAGCCTTTGTGCTGCTATGTTTAAAGCACGAGCCTGTGACTCCAAAGAGATGCATTAAGTCCCAAACGATCTGCGTTTGTGGTCCCCGGCTAGTCCCTAGCAGTGCAGTGTAGCCACATCATAAAGCCAACACACACAGTCAGATAATTAGCAGTCACTGCTGCAGGGAATGGAATGCCCGGGGAGCTGTGGGGAAGGGCTGGGGGCCAAAGGCCAGACTGCTGGGGGGGGGGGGGGGGGGGGGGGCCCCGGAGGCGGCGGGGGGGGGGGGGGGGGGGGTGCTGTGGTCACGACAGAGCCATCCCTGCAGCTTTGTGCAGGAAGCGTGCACAGCAAGCCCCATGCTAGTCCAACCTCAAGCCACAGCTATTATCTCCTCACTTTCCTGACCAGACACATTCACCAATTAAATAGAGCTGTTGAAGCCAAACCACTCATCTGCTCCTGCCTTCCCCTTGTAGGGGGAGTCAGCGTCTGTCACTGGTTCTGATTCCTGCACAGAAAGTTAACTCCTTTGGCAAGTCTGTTCTTGCAACAGGTCCCCTCCTGCCCTGCAGGATCACCAGGGGGCATGTGCCTGAGGCGAGGGCCCAGGTCAGGCATGCCCCTTAGAGAGAGGGTAGTGCCAAGGTCAGGGCAGCCTGGTGGGGAAGCCCAGTGCCCTCATCCCACACTCCCATCCCTGCACAGACAATTCCCCTGTTCATCCCCCCTGCTCTGCTATGTCCCCTTCTGGCTCCACACCAGCGACAGCACGTCCTTGCGCCCCATCGCCCTTCAGGAAGCCTGGCAGGGGAGCTACCATCAGACCAAGCAGGGGGCTGCTTTGCTGCTGGTTAGGAAGACACACAGCCATGCCCGTTAACTGATCAGATCCAGCTGGATATGAGAGCTGGCATGGAGCAGTTGGCACTGTGGGAGAGGCTGGGCGGATCGGTGCCCATCACAGCCCTCGGCCCCAAGGAGAAGCAGGACGGAGAGCTCCGGGCCCCGAGGCCGGCCGCTGAGTGCGGCCAGGGCTGGTACGATTCGCTGCCTGCCACAGGTGTCCCGGCGCCCAGGAGAGGGGCCGCCCCCCGCAGCCCAGCGCCAGCCGCTTCCCGAGCCCGGCCTGTGCAACAAGTGCCAAGCCGAGCCGGGCGGGGGCTGCGGCCGGCCCCGCCACCGGGCACCCGGCCCCGGCGCACTCACCTCCGGAGCCCGCGCTCAGGGCGAGCCAGAGCAGCAGCAGCGCCAGCAGCCAGCGCCGCACGCTCATGGTGGGAACGGGGCTGCAGCCGGGCGCGTCGCTCGGCGGGGAGGGGCCGGGCTCTGCCAGGCGACGGCGGCGGTGAATACACCCGCTCGCGCCGGGGGCTGCATTTGTAGCCGAGCCGTGCGCCTGGCTCCCGGCCCGCCCGGTCATGTGGCCGCGGAGGCTGGCGAGGGGCCTCCCCTGCTCGCTCCAGCACCCACCGCACGGAGGGGGGCGCGGCCAGCCCGGCCCCGCCCTGGGGCACTGGAGAGCCCGAGCGCGGCCCGCTGCGCGCCCGCCTCCGCCCTGCGCAAGGACTGCGAGCGACCTGGGCTGGAGACCCCAGGACCCGGCCTGCGAGAGGAGCCCGACCCGGCTGGGGGACCCCTGGTCTAGGCCTCAGTTTTTCAAACTCTTTCCCCCTTGGGTGTGTGCCCCCTGCCCCACCCTGAGCCCACAGGGCTCCCGAATCAACATTCCTCTGCGTTCTCTATAGGTGTCAAATTCTGCCCCCCACCCACATACACACAGAGAGGACCTGATCCTCCCCCCCGGTCCCCTGTCTCATCATCTTCACCTGGGCAGGCTGGGGGTACAGCGCTCCCCAAGCAGGGCTTCCTGCAGTGTTTAATTGGTAATGAAACAGGTGCTGGGGCTCAAGCAATTTTTTTATTTTCACAACTGATTCACCAAGACCAGAGGTGCCAGGGCTCTGAACTGCCAGGCCCAGAGGTGCCAGGGTTCAGTCCTGGCAAGCCCTGGCACAAATTAAGCACTAGTTCCCTTCAGTGGGTGTTTCACACCTGCAGTGAAGGGGTGGGAATGATGAGACACAGTGCAAGGGCAGGGAGAGGCAGCCCCTAAAGTGAGATTGGCTTATGCTCAGCACGTGGGAAGGCAGGGGAATCTCAGGCAATGGTATGTGAGCATCCCTGTGAGAGTTCCTCACTCTGCACCCCAGTCTGCAGAGGCGTAGCGAGCGCCCTCCGTACCCTCCGACCGGAGGGGGCCCCGCAAGGAAGGGGGCCCCTAAAAGTGGCAAAATAAATACCGCATTCCAGTTTCTGCATTGTAAGGGGCCCCGCCCAGACATATGTTCGGAGGGGGCCACCGTTCGGAGGGGGCCATGTTCTTTGTTGCTACGGCCCTGCCAGTCTGGTGGGTGTGAGATCAGCATGTGAGAAGTTGGTGATGCTCCACTACCCCCATAGCCCTGGGAGCAGGAGAGATAGCGCACCTGGGGAAGATGGGGCAAGGGGTGGGCTGCAGACTCCTGTGGGCAGGCAAGAGCTCAGTCATTCCCCAGAGGTGGCCCAGCAGAGCAACCCCTCTGGCCTCCCCAAAAGGAAGGGTAGAAAATGGGGCAACAAATACCATTCCCTCCCCCTCCCCCGGAGAAAAACAACTCCCTGGGTTGCAGGGAAGTGGCTCAATGGAATATACTTCTCCCTGAACAACCGTTCTGTTTTGTGTTGACCTTGGTTCTCCAGGTCCATAGAGAGCCCCTTCAGTTGCTGGAGGGGTCACCAGCTTGTGGTGCAGGGTAGAGCCCTGATCCTAGGCTTGTCCACAGGAATGGGGAATGCAGCAGACAGACACTTCCCAGTTTTCTGTGTCTGTTTTCAGCTCTTGCTCCACAAAAACAACAAGGAGTCCAGTGGCACCTTAAAGACGAACAGATTTATTTGGGCATAAGCTTTCATGGGTAAAAAAACCCACTTCTTCAGATGCACTTTTCAGAAGTGTTTTTTTTACCCATGAAAGCTTATGCCCAAATAAATCTGTTAGTCTTTAAGGTGCCACCGGACTCCTCATTGTTTTTGTGGATACAGACTAACACGGCTAACCCCTGATACTTGAATGCTTGCTCCAGTGGCCTTATTGAGGCAGCACCTATATGATAGCATCCTGCTATATATGCTATGGGCCCGGTTCTGAGCACCATTCCATTGCTACAAATCAGGAGAAATAACATTAAACACAATGAGTCAGATCCTCCACTGTCTGGCACTGTGTACACCGCAACACCTCATGTGTGCAAAAGGAGTGCAGAGCTGGGGTCAGGGGGTGCAGAAAGCATTCTGATTTGGGAGCATTTCACATCCTCGTGGCACATGTCTTTACTGAGGATCAGGGCCAACAGAGTTACAGCCGTGTAAGTGTAGGCCTGAATGTGACTCTACTCTGGGTAGATTCTCGTCACTTGGGATGTAGAGAACTAAACTAAACAAATCATTCGGTGACAGAATTGGTGGAATCAGAAGCATCAAGTCAATGTGCTTCTCTCCCTCTATCTAGCTATTTCTAAGCCCCCATCACCCTAGAATCTGAGAAACTCACAAACATTGATGAATTTATCTTCACAGCACAGCTGGGAAGTGTTGTTAGCCCCTGAGGCACAGAGAGACCATGTGACCTGTCCAATGGCACACTTGAAGTCTGATTCAGAGCCAGCAATTGAACCCAGATGTCTTGAGACCCAATTCTGCGCTTTAGCCAGGAGCCCAGCCCTTTTCAAGAGCCATGCACGCTGTTCGCTATTGGCAAGCATTCCAGTGAGCAAATCCCCAAAAGGCCACAAATTTTAGCATGAGCACTTTTCATTTGTCATTGGTCGTTCACTATTGTTTAAAAACTTTCAGTCATCCAATCATGAAGCAGAAACAATGCCTTGTGGCTTAGGAGACCAATCACAGCACGAATAATGAATATCAAATATTGACTCTTCAAAGTGAACTGTTTGCAAACAATCTGCAGGCTGAAATGTGTCAAATACACTATCAGGCCAACCCTTCCAAATAACAGTTACGTTTGCAGAAGTCACAAATGATTTGCTAATCGAAACCAGGACTAAATTCATAATAAATACTATTCCTAATGAATAGTTCACCCAGCCCCACTGCTAGCTAATTCACAGCAGGAACCCGTCTTGCTTTGGACACGGGTGAGGTCAATGCCCAGCAGTAATGTCTATTCTAGTTTGGATTGTGATGATTCTGTAGATACAGAACATCCCTGTATTGCAACAGCCTTACATTTCTTGCCCAGCAGCTCCTCAGCAGCGCTTTGTGGTCAGCGCTTTCCCTGTCCTCCCTGTTCAGCATGGTGTCTGCAGTCAGCTGCATTAAATCTCAGCCTAGTCACTTGTGCCCCTCTTTCAGCGACAGCCTCAATCGTGAGCCCTGCTGGGTGCCTGCAGAGGAGCAGGAATGTTCCCTTGCATAGGCTACCCACCTTGCTGAACCTATAGGCTGGGAGAGTAGCAGCTGCCAGGCTGCTATATTCTGCCCAATTGGGTGAGCAGGGGTGGGAAAGGGCTGGAGCCCTGGCTTCACGCTCAGAGAGCCAGGGAGCGCACCAGAGCCAGGGCAGAGGGAGAAGTAATTTCTGCCAGCAAATGGATTGGGACCCATGATTCTGCCCTGGGAGCAAGCGGGAACCCAACTCTGACTCTCAGAGTCAGATTCTGGTTCCGGCTCTGCACAAAGCCCAGCAGCTACACACTGCCCCTTTCTGGGGCTGGACTGTAGGGAGACAATGTCTCCCTTTCCAATCACTCCCTGCACTATGCCCAGGGAGCGGCTGGCCAGAGGTGCCCATGCAGCGATGTCTCTCCTCCCTGCGAGGGTTGTACCCTTTGTAAAGGACTCGCCTGTGCTGAGGGCATTCTGCACCAAACAATTAAAAATTCTGCACACAATATTTTAAAATTCTTTAAAATTCTGCAAATTTTATTTGTCAAATAAATGTGGAGGCTCAAGCATGGCATTGGGGAGCACAGGCCATTGTCTGCACAGAGGTGGGAGATCACTATGCAGCTCCCCCCCCGGGACACGAACTCAGTGATGAGGCTACACCCAACCCTAACACAGCACAAGGACCGGGCCTACCCCAGAAACACCCCAGGCCAGATGCACCAGATGTGGGCAGGCAGGCTCATCAAGGCAGGATCCAAGTGTAGAGGGGCTTAGTGTGGGGGGAATCCAGGTGTGGTTGAGAGGGTTCTGTGTGGGGCAATCTGAGTGCGAGTGGCTCAGTGGGGGATCCAGATGCGGGGGGGATCTGGATGCACTGGGGCTTGTTGGGGGGTTCTGGGTGTAACGGTAATGGGACTCTGCAGGGGGGTCCAGGTGAAGGTGGTTAGGGCTCAGCGGGAGGGGTGTGTGTGTCTGGATGTTGGGGGGGATAGAGCTCGGCAGGGTGGTTTTGGTGGGGGAGCTCAGCGGGGGGGTCCAGATGCTGGTGAAGTGGGGCTCAGTGGGGTGGGAATCCAGGTGCAGCTGGTTGGGTCTCAGTAGGGTGGGGATCCAGGTGCTGGTGACTCATTGGGATGGTCCAAGTGCAGGGGGAGTAGGGCTTGTCGGGGGGGGGGTTCTAGGTGCGGGAGGGTGAGGCTCAGTGGGGGGGGGGTCTGGGTCTGAGGGGGTCTGGATGCATTGGGGTTGGGCAGATGGGGGAGCAGCTCCCTGTACAGGGATCCCTCCCACTGCAGATGAGGAGAAATGGGTGCAGGAAGTGTGTGTCTGTGGGGTGGAGTTTGCAGAGCTTCCTACAGCCAGGGGAGAAATCTGGGGGGGTGTCTGACACGGCCCCAGATGCCGTGCAGGGGAAGAGGAAGTCCTGCTGGGACTAACAGCTGAGCCCAGCACAGGGTAGGAGCCACCAGCTGGGTCTTCCCCAGTCCCACTCGCTGCCCCACAGTGATTTACCTCTGCCAGCTGCCCTGGGCACCAGAAACATACTGCTGGAGAGGGCCCATGACTGCTCTTGGGGCTTCCCTTTGCTTCCCTGTCAGAAAGTTATTTTTCTGCAGGGAAGCAAAGAAATCTTCAGGGGACATAAATTCTGTGCATGTGCAGTGGCGCAGCATTCCCCCAGGAGTAAGTAGGTCACTGTTGCAGTCATAGGCACCGACTCCGTGGGTGCTCCGGGACTGGAGCACCCACGGGGAAAAATTGGTGGGTGCTCTACAGCAACTCCCCACCCCGCCCTGCCCCACCCCCCTCGCCCCAGCTCCCCTCTGCCTCCGCTCCCCCTCCTCCCCTGAGCGCACTGCCACATCCTGATTCTCCCCCCTCTCTCCCAGCGCTTGCACCGTGAAACAGCTGTTTCGCGCGGCAAGCCTGGGAGGGAGGGGGGAGGAGAGGGAACCAGGCGCGCTTGGGGGAGGA